AGGAAAGGATTCTTTGCCTAAGGATGACCAATGCGGAGTAGTTTATAAAATTAATTGCTTAAACTGTGAATCGTCTTATGTTGGCCAAACCAAAAGGAAATTAAAAACTCGGATTAAAGAACATAAGGCCGATATAAGAAAACCTTCTTCCGAAATTTCTGTGGTTTCACGTCACCGTATGAATGAGATGCATGAATTAGATTGGGATAATATAAGAATTTTAGATAGAGAACAATCTTTAGCGAAAAGAAGAATTTCGGAAATGATACATATAAAAAGACAAACAAGTGGTATCAATAAGCAAAGTGACACGGAAGGTTTGCCTGAGGTTTATTTTCCTCTTCTAAAGAAGGATGTCTCTTTCCGTTAATAAACAATTCTAGAACTTTCTAAAAATTTTTGACTCAGATATATAAATAGTGATAAAATATATGATAGGACAAATAACAACACATAATGTCACGACAAAATTCTAACTGTGTAAAAGAAATAGAGATTCATCGTTTGGTTTTTTTGCTGTAAAACAGGTAATGATTCTATTTCTTTATATTCCGACTAGAAGATTTTAATATATACAATTTTATTTAGAATCTGGAAATTCTTGTTCTACACTTTTCTTGATATGACAATTGACGGTGTAACATTACTGTATGAAGCATCTTCACATATAAAAGAACATGTTTATTTAATTACAACTCTCGACTGTTAAATTTAATGTCAACTAGATGTAACTCTGCGTTTTAAGAATATTATTGAATTACTAGAATATTACTGAAGATGGCCAGATTGTGGCCGAAACGTTTAATGTTTTAATTAATATAATAATAATTAAATATCACAAACTATAACTTGTGCTGTGGTTTTTTATGCTCTTATTTTTTTATATGTGTTAATATTAGAACCATGTTAGTTTCAAGATATTTTCTGAAGTAACTTCGTTAATCCAAGAAAGCTTTGAATATCTTTCGGTTCTGGATAATCTATCACGGCTTTGATTTTCTCTTGGGAAGGATAAATTCTGCCCCCTTCTATACCTAGAAACTCGATGGTTCTTTTCACGAATTGACATTTTTTAAAATTAATTTGCAAACCGTAGTCGCTAGCTGTTTTTAGTACGATTCGCAAACGTTCCATCGCTTCTTGTTCGTTTGTCGCCGACACGATCAAGTCATCCACGTAAAGCAAAACTATATTTTATTTAATCAAATCCCAGAAAGCAGCATTAATATATCTTTGGAAAACCCTCGGCAAATTACATAGTCCAAAAAAGACTTTCAAGAATTGATATTGACCGTTCGGAGTGAAACGTCGTATATTTTCGACTCTCTTTTTCTACGGATACATGGAAAAATCCATTTTTCAAGTCTAACATGCTAAATACACGAGCATCCTCTAATTTATCTAGTAGATTAGTGATAAGGGATGACCATCCTTTTCTATGACTCGATTTAACTTCCTATAATCAATACATACATGCGTCCTTCTTTCTTATAACGACTATTGAACTCGCGTATTCCGACGTACATTTCTCAATGACCCCGTCATTTAGCCATTCCACTATTTGATTTTCGACTATCTTACGCTCAGGTGCCGGTAACCGTCGCGGTTTTTGAAAGATTGGCCTTTCGTTCTTTGGTACAATACGCATGCTCACATTCGTTGTTTTATTTACTTGATACGTTTCAACAACTGTCTCTACTTCTTCACGTACTTTCGGATCCGTCACGTTACCAATGTGTAACGGTTGCTTTTCGATCACGTTGATTTGTGCTAACAATTGAGCAGGTGTCGCTTTTCGTATACGAGTAGTTATTCCGTCATTATTGACGGTCATTTCCGTCATTGCTAGGAAATCGCTACCAATTATGACACTTGAATTTGTAGCTTCATTTGGCACTATACACGGATATTCATCAGAATCTTCTACAATTGTATTTACGCAATCTAATGAATGCACGTTTTTTTCAAAATCGGTTAAACAAATACTATTTCCCCATAGCTTATCTAATTCATTTATCGTAAACATCTTTGCGCATTACCGTGATCTGATTGCCGGTATCAATTAACGCACTAACTCGCACACCGTTTATCGCGATTCGTTTAAACATTCTCGATGAATCAGTAACCGTATTAATTACCGCCGTCTTTTTATTCATTACCGCTTCACTATCGTCTAACGCGTTACACAGATTTTCCGTATGCCCATATTTTTGACATTTAAAATATTTTTTACCTAATTCCTTCTTCTTACAGTCTTTAGATTTGTGTCCTTTATCGCCGCAATTGTAGCGTTCGCCTCCTGTTCCTTTTCGCCACTTTTTGGTGTTGTTGGTTTCCTCGCTTCTTCGGCATAGTGTTCTTCTCTCTCGTTCTCATCCTCTCAGTATTCTTCTTTCGAATTGCTTCGTATACTTTAAGCTTCTCCTTGAAGTCTTTCAATTTTTTAGCTCTGTATAATATCATTTTGCCCTGTGCGTCCTCCGGAATTCCGTCAATCACGTATTTCATGAGTGCTTCTGCTTTTATTTTACATCTAACAGCTATTTCTTTCATCGCGTAATAATATTCCTGCAAGATTTCGTCCCTCTTCAGTCTTCTTCTGACCAGCATATCGTGTATTTGAACACTGTTTATTTCATTTATAAATTCGTTTCGTAAAATTTCTTTTAATTTCTTCCACGACTTGATAACGCCTTCACTGTCGATGAGCATTTTAGCAGATCCGGCTAATAATTTCTTTGCGAACTAACTTCTGTAATTCCGACCATCCGAACAGATTAGCTGCATCCTCAAATTCAGATATCCATCTTTCAACTGGATATGTATCTTTTCTTGAAAGTTTTAATTGAATCTTGCACGTCTCGGTATGTCATGGAGAATTTCGTGTTCACTTGACCGCCTCTGGCGGAGTGATTCTCTTCGAGGTTATTTTCACCCTCTTCATTACTTCTTTCTTCCACTCTTTCATCGTCTTGCTCGTCAACTGTTCCCTCGTCACTCGCATCTTTGTTTAACTCATCGTCCTGTTCACTATCTTTAAGCGTGAGAGTATCTAAATCCATTTTATGCGTGTCATTATCTCTTCTCTGTTTCCGCCGTACTCTAAACCGAGAATGTTACAGCAGGATATCAAATCACCGATCGAGAGTTTTCGCGCCGCTTCTATTTTATCCACGTATCCCGTTGTGTCTTTTTTAAAAGTGAAACCCTCAAAGTCTCTGAGTCTTTGTCTATTTTTTCGATTACCTTCCTTTTCGAAGATAAACTTATGTAAAACCATCACGGCAACGGTCGACGCGTATCTTCTGCTTGATTGATTCAATTTGCGCGAGATTATTCATCTTGTCTCTGCATACTTTACGCAATATAGCAAATGTTTACCGCCGCGCGCTTACTGTTGTTGCACCGTCTTGTTCGCGTAGATTCGCTCAAGACTACCGTTCACTTACATCGTGCAGTCCTGCCATCACAGTTTCGATGTCATTACCAGCGCTACTGTCGCGCGCTAACTCGCGTCGTATTGTCACTGCACTCTCGATGTTGGTACTGTTACCGACGCGCATTCACAATCTTGCCAATGTATTTCTGATGTCGCTGTGTCCTTGTAGTTGCACACTCAATGCCTTTTCTTAACGTCTTCGAAATTTGAATGTCGTCTTCTTTTCTTCTTTCCTTTTCCTCGTCGTGTCTTCTCCGTCTTGCGCCTTTTCGTCTTTTTCGTCTCTTCGTCTTTTCCTTCGTCCTGTCGTCTCTCATTTTATCGTCTTTCGTTTTACGTCTTTTCCGTCTTGTTTCTTTTTCGTCTTTTCGTCTTTTCTCTCTTTTTTCATCAGTCCTTATCCCGGTTGAGCTCCCAAATTGTAGGAAATAAGATGATGCCAATGGTGGAATGTTTGGTGAGCCAATATTTATTGGATAACAATTTAGGAGAGATACACTTCGCACTTCACGCTTCGCTGTGCCACACGCGTGTTCGTCATTTTTAGACTAACTCCCTTCTGCTCTAACCTTCCTTTATTTTTTCCTTCTTGCGCAAGCGCGCTAATAGTCTAGCGCATATCGCCAGCTGGAAGCGCGTGAACAAAAATTTATAAACGAAATATATACTCTTCCTACAGTAATATGATACAAATAACATTAAATATAAATATAAATTAAAAAAATAAAAATAAAAATATGCCTACATTAATCTAACATTTCGATTCCGATCGGGTCATTCTCAAAGTTATAAAAATAATATAATATATAAAATAGTTGACTAAAAATAAGTTAACAAAAGATAATTACTTATATAAATTTGATGATAAGAAAGATAATCACAAGTAGACCTTGAATAAAGAAAATAGGTAAAATAGGACAACAGGAGTCAAAAGCGCGGTAATTGTTGTACAAAACAAACAATGTGGATACAACATAAAATTCTTTATTAAATAACCCGCTTACATGTTTTGGCTCATTTTTTAGTTATCTCCAAAGACAAATTAATTTTATAATTACAATAATAACTACAATACCTACAAACTAATTCATTCCAGTAAGCCACCTGCACATATTTATGAAAACTTTATTATTGAAAAATGACTCTAATAACAATCCAAATTGTGTTTAAATTTTATAGGACAAAATTATTTAAAAAAAAGCCCGAACGAATTTTTATATCACAATAAGAGGAAAGCTCATAGCAACGAGGATTTGTTATGTCGCAAACAATTATGTTCTATTAATTTAGTCAAAAACTAGTTTTTGACTCGTCAGCGAATCAGTGTCAAAATTGTTTAAATTAGTGGAGTAACTTTTAAATTTAGTTGTAATTAAGGAGCGTTTTGTGTGCGTGCGTGCGTGCATGCGTGCGTGTGTGTGTATGGAAAAACAATTTAATATTGATTGTAATCTGAAAGGAAATCAAATATCAAGTCAAAAGTTTCACATAAAATCTTAATACAATGAAAGAACGACACTAACTAATTGGCAATTCAACAACTTCAACATTTATAGCTCATCAATAATTGGAAAGTAAGCCTTGGGAAGTTCCTCCATATTCACCTGTAAATTGAAACCACGCGTCTGCTTCCTGTACAACACCTCCGAAACCAATCTCTTTCTGTACTGTTCTTCGTCTAAAATTATCCATCTGAGTAATTTTGTTTTCGAATCCGAAATTTCATCCATAATTTTGCTTTCGAATCCGAATAGAGTAATTTTGCTTTCAAATTCGAAATTTCATTTTAATAATTTTTGTTTTGTAATTAAAATTTTATTAAAGAATGATTATCCGTTGGAATTCATTTTTGATAATATCCATAACCGTTTGAAAAACATTATTAAGTATAAGAGTAAGAAATCTGATAACGATATCGTCGAAATCGTGAGACTTTCCTAGTTTACTGTTTCCAAAAAATTTAATAGATTAAGCAATGATGATATTAGGATATCGTTTAATAGTGTTAACAAATTACGGAAATTCATTAAGGTGCATAAAGATCCGCTTCCGCATAATATGAAATTGAATATCGTGTATAAGATTTATTGTAAAGACTGTGATGCGAGTTACGTGGGACAGACGAGAAGACAGCAGAAGACAAGAATCGCTGAGCATAAGAATCACATTCGGTGGAACACAACCACACACTCTGTCATAACTGACCGATTGAAGGAGGGCCTCGAGTTTGATTAGGAAAACATTGTAATTTTGGACGAAGAACCTTAGTACAGAAAGAGATTGGTTTCGGAGATGCTGTACATCAGAAAACAGACTCGTAGTCTCTTCTCTGCAGATGAATATGAGGCTTCCCAAGGTTTACTTTCCGATTATTGATAAGCTGTCGAAGTTGCTGAATTGCCAGTTAGTCAGTGTCGTTCTTTTATTGTATTAAGATCATTTTATTTGAAACTTTTGACTTGGTATTTGATTTCCTTTCAGATTACAATTGATATTATATTATTTTTCCACACACACAAAAAACACTCCTTAATTACAATCAAAATTAGAAGTTATTTTATTGATTTAAATAATTTTGACACTGATTCGCTGATGAGTCAAAAACTATTAGGTGTTGGAATTAATTCGTAGCGTTTTACAAGTGATGGGAAGTACTTTCATTAATGTATTTTTTAATGCTCATGTGAAATAAATAACATTCTTTCATTAAAAAACGCTACGAATTAATTCCAACACCTAATAGTTTTTGATTAAATTAATAGAACATTTTTAATTGTTTGCGACATAGCAAATCCTCGTTGCTTTCCTCTTATTGTGATATAAAAATTCGTTCGAGCTTTTTTTTTAATAATTTTGTCTTATAAAATTTAAACACAATTTAGACTGTCATTAGAGTCATTTTTCAATATTAAAGTTTCCATAAGTATGTGGAGGTGGCTCACTGGAATGAAACAGTTTGTAGGTATTATAATTATAAAATTAATTTGTCTCTGAAGATAGCTCAAAAATAAGACGAAACATATAAGCGGGTTATTTAATAAAGAGTTTTGTGTTGTATCCATATTGTTTGTTTTGCATAATAATTATCGTACTTGACTCCTATTGCTCTATTTTATCTATTTTCTTTGTGATTATTAAAGAGTCTGTATGAATTAACTTATATTTAGACCTTGGATATTTAGACTATTAATTCAATTCCAAAGATATCGCTGAATACATTTTAGTCGGCTGAAAATATAATAGATCCTGGATTTATGCCGTTCAAAAAATATCGCTGAGTATAAATCGTTGAATATGTAATTAACGGAAAATAGATCCTGGATTTACACCGTTATTCAAATTCAAAAAATATTGCCGAGCATAAATATATTACTGATAATATCATTAAGTCAGCCAATTATTAATTAATCCTTCTAATAAAAGGTTTATCTGGATTCTATAAATAGTATAGTAGTGAATTGTGTAAGTATTGAAATGTACAGAAAATGTAGTTATCAGCAATGATCGTGAATTATATAAAATGATATGTATAGAGTTTAAAATTCGATCATATAAATAAGATAGAATTTATAAAATATTGTGTATGAAACATAAATTTGGTAATATAGATAAAAGCTGAATTTAATAAAATTAAACTATGTAAAATTTTGAAACGTATAGTGATTTATATAAATGAAAAGGTACTTTAATAATCGCATTGCGTAGTCCAATAATAAAATTGTAGTGTCAGAAATAAAGATAAGTTAAAAAGTAAAATTGTAACATATTTAAATATAAGTTGAAACAAAATTGCAATGAAGACCACTCGTTATCAACTGCACCAATGATAACGTCCCTCTTATGACAAATCGGATAATGAGAATAAAAATTAAGGAATCTACTCGAGAAAGTTGACTTATGATATCTATCAAAAATAATTCTGTTGTCAATAATAACCATTCTGTCTAAGAAATTCAATTTTTTATCTATACTTATTTCCATGGTGAACTGAAATCTTGGATGTAAAGAAATAAGAACGTTTTGGATTTCATTCGAAGTGTCACCTGGAGCTGCTAAAATGATGTCGTCAAAAATTGAATAATAATTATGTAAGTAATCTTTCAATTGCTAAAGTAAATCCTATAAAATTTTGGATATAATAGGAGACAGAGGTGAACCCATAGAGGTACCAAAAATCTGCTTGTAAAATTTACCATTAAACGAGAAAAAAGTAGAATTTAAAACTAAGTAAATGACTATTAAAAATTCATCTAATAGTGATTTTATTGATATAGTGGTTTTGCAAG